GCCTGGAAAAGCCCTTTGGCATCAACGGTGGAGCCTTGGGGTGTCGTATATTTCTTTTTCTCCCGAAAGCTTTGCTTACACCTGTCCATTCCAAATAGGCTCATTAAGAATCCTACCATTGATGAATCTACTGCTTGCCGTTGTGATAGAAGTAGTAGGAATTGCAGGCGTCCCAACTGTAACAAGACATAACCGCACGGCTTCGTGAGGAGACTAACGCATTCACAGACTAAAATGTTTCTCCCTTGCCTGACATCATGAGCCACTAGAACTGTTTGAAGACGGCTCCGAGGCAGCAGAGAGCTGCCAGCTTCACATAAGTGTTCAACATAGCTCACGATCTCCTGGCGTCGTTGCCCTTCAGCAAGGGGAACCNGCCAGCTTCACATAAGTGTTCAACATAGCTCACGATCTCCTGGCGTCGTTGCCCTTCAGCAAGGGGAACCCGTGGAGAAGTTTCCCCTGTCTCCGTACCGACAAACGCTTCATACTGATGGCCAAATATGCAGGAATTTGACTCCATATTAGGGTGCCTCCACACTTTCATAAGTTGAGGCGACTCCAATACTTGAATTATATAAGACTCAAGTAAACCGGGTTTGGCCAAATGTGGGACTGCACAAAAGTACAAAAAAAAAAAGTTCTGATGGCATGATGTTCACTGAAATGAAGGAAACCTCTAAATTCAGTCGGAGCTGCAACTTAATTTACGCGAAGTTTCCAGCTTCAAAAGTTAGTTTGGATTTATAAACTTAGTATGCAAACGGTTGTTGTTGAAGTTGATGCAGTGGCGGCTCCAACACCCCAGAAGTAAAAGGCTTACTTCCCATTAGACTCCTTAGTTTGGTGACCCCTGGAATGGCGGGCGAAAGCCAGAACTTTGTGAGGCAATCTGCAGAGAAAAGAGAANTAGCATCTAATGGAATGAAAACGATTGTGAATGGTGTTGCAAGGTGTGCGCAAGGCCACTGACTGTAAATTCCGTCATTGCATTCGCTGTAAACACGCCGGAGCTGAGTGACAACATGCTTGGCTCCTTTTCTACAGGCGGTTTGTGTAGGATGGTTTGGGTATCTGATTCCTTTCTTCTTGATGAGTCTGCAGAAATCGTCGACTTTCGAGTCAAGCTCTTGGTAGCCGAGAGGCAGCTCAATGCAGTTCAGCAGCTCTGAGGCAGGCCACAACGCATCAGCAGCCTCACACCGTGCAGACCCCAATAAATTAGCCACTGGAGTTCCCTAAATAAACTAGTCACTGGTCACTGGAGTTGCCTCAGGACAAGAGCAGCATCACGTCAATTTTGTTTTTACCTACCGCGACAGTGTGGGCGGGAGGAGTTGCATAAGTGGGCTCAAGTAACAGCAGGACTCACCGCTTCCAACACCCTTGCTGACGAGATCAGATAATGTATTTGTCTTCTCTCTTGTATCTCCGTGCTGCTGTTCGGTTCCACTGGAGCTGCTTGAGGCATCTCCATGCACAGAACGCCTGCGTTCGCTGCCTCGTGAACTGACAGAACTTGCGTCTGAAATGGCATCTGCGGTGCTCTCTTGAGCGACAGCGGCGTTGTTGCCAAATGGGCCTACAGAAGAGGGAGGGCTGGTGGGCGGGTGATGTCCATCAGCTTGCTGTACAGGTGGCTGATGAACCGATGCAACCACAACTGTTGTGTGGTGGGCTGGGGTCGACGTTTGAGGGCTGCTCGTTTGTCCCCTTTCCGTTGATCTTTCACCGCCTTCTGTGTTTGGCGCTGCAGTGGAAGGGGGAGCGGCGCCTTGCTGCTGCGTTGAGGGTGTTTCTGTTGTTGCTCCGCTGCTTGGCCCCTCCCAGTCAGAGTCGTCATCTGAGGCTTCAAACTCATGAACCTTACCCAGCACCTGCTGATAAGCTGAAGAATACNTTGGGTGTTGTGGTTGCGTGTAGTGAGTGGTGCTTGTTGGTTCAGGTGTCGGATGAGGCCTGTTTGGCCGCAGATCACTCGACATTTCCGAGCTTGAATCTCCTGTATAATAAGCTGCATGTTCCCCTTCACTTTCAGAAGACTGTTCGGGGTCGTACGTACGCCTATTTGACTCCGTCCCCCTGTAAGCTCTGCGCATTTCTGCTAGTTTCCTGGCGTGCTTGTCTCCGTCCGAAAGGGTTTTTTTTTTCCTTCTGGGTGCCGTTGCTGTGAGCTGTTCAGCGGCACCCACACACAGGAAACAGCCAAATTACTTTCCCACGTATTCTAAACACATCGGTTTTGTTTTAAATTCAGAATACGCGGAAGCAATAGTTCAGATTAAAGAAGCAACAATAACCTCCTTGCTAAACAAAACACTCTACAGGTACCAGTATCGTTATCTTCTAGATATGCCATTGTACCCCCGCATATAAAGATATTAAACATATGAAGTAACTAACTGCCAACCCATTGCCAAGCACAGCTTAAGCAAAAAAACGACTGCATGCAGCACCGGCCTCAAGGATGAAGGCACTGAAGGGCTGCCACTGTGGAGCACAAAAACATTTTGACAGCTTTTAGGGGTCCAAGCAGAACTGTGAAGACCCTTCATCTTGATCGCATCTTACCTGAAGGTAACTGAAGGGCTTTGTAGCTCCAAGATAGGGAGATGCAATGAATGCCGTTTGACTTTTCTGGCCTTCTCCTTCACCACACCCCGGGTTGTTCGTCGAGTCCTGAAAGCCCTTGTGACAATCAGTATTAGATTTCGTCCTGGATACATCTGTGCAGCATGAACAAAGGGAGAATGCATGCAATGGAAGATAAGGCTGGTTAACCTTGCATGCAGAGAAGCCCAAGGCACACAAAAAGGAGCAATCAGCTCACAGTACTCCGAAACGAAGTGAGATTTCTCGTTACTGTGACTCTCGGGTGCAAANAAGGAGCAATCAGCTCACAGTACTCCGAAACGAAGTGAGATTTCTCGTTACTGTGACTCTCGGGTGCAAAGGAGTTGTGTTTCGCTCACCGTTGGAATATGCCGCTGTTGAAGTCGAAAATATTACAACCACAACAACATATAACGCCGCAGCGTGGGTGAGCAAACGCAGCCAGTTCATGCAGCGCGAATTCCCGGAAGGGAGCCGTAGGAGGCCCCCACCCCTTCTAAGCAGCATCCCTATTGTTCGTAATTTTGGTGGTTCCATCGGTATCGGTCTGGGCTGCTGGTCGCTGCTGTTTGCAAGAACGAGAGCACTTTGGGCCGCATGAATGTAACCCCCCTTTTCCACCTGTGCTTGATGAGATAGGTCTCTTGCAGAGTAATTTGAAAAACGGTAAGTAATACTCAGACACCCTGTGAACGCTTCCAGACGGAGAAGCTGCGTCACAGCGCCTCCGTCCCCTCGATGATCCGGCGCATGCCAATGAAATTTGAGTTTCACCAGCGCAGTCACAAACCCTTGAAACACAATTCGAACAAAAAGCTCACCATGTGCCTCTGTGGAACATTCAGAACTGACTTTCTACTAGCGCTGCTCCGTCCTTGGTGGCCAGCGAGCAGCAGTTTGCCCGGGACGCTTAGACCCCGATAAGCCCTTCAACACACGCAGANCCTTGGTGGCCAGCGAGCAGCAGTTTGCCCGGGACGCTTAGACCCCGATAAGCCCTTCAACACACGCAGAAGTTCGGTTGGTTAGGCATAAAAAAGATTCAATAGGATCGGTCCTTTGTGGAATCTCAAATTCCAGAGTACAGCAAAGACAACAGTAAATACACGGGGGAGCAGCCCTTCCCCTACGTTGCTGCTCCTAGAGCCCATTGCAGGGACCCCCGAAAAAAAGAGTCTTTTCATTCAATGACTTTATTTCCTCAAAAACAAATTAAATAAAAAGGTAAGAGAAGAATTGCATTTTTCTACAGGGTGGGGGTCAAGAGGATGGTCTGTTCTCTCCGGCGCCGACGACGGGCGTATCACCAGCCAGTAGCTTACCTTGGGTGAGAGCTTGCACACCGAAGGCAAAGAAGGTCTATCAAATATGCCATATAGTGTATTTGTTTGTAGGTGGTATATAGAGATCAGTTTTGAGTTTAAAAGGCTTTTAATGGGACCCCTTGTAGATGGAATACTGCTCAACGTGGTTTCGCGGGCGGTCGACTCGGCGTTCTGACCAGACCATTGACGGCCTTTCTACACCTGGGTTGTATCGCCACTTCTTCCTTTTTATTACTCCTGTATACTCTTAACACTTTAGAATGTTGTTGTATATCTTCTTGAGAGGCAGCAACAGCGCCTCTTTGCCTCGATCGAGACGATACTTCTGCCCGCCCGTTTTTTTTGCGTTCCTTCCGCGTGTATTCGCCGACACAAATTTCGTTTACCATTAAAGCACTTTAATAAGGGGTTCTGCCCTATAAACTTTTCTGTGGTTAAGACATCCCCTCAGCACCAACGCTAGCAATTGCCGCTAAGGGCTCAACGCCGCGTTCAGATGCAAGTTGTCCCAGAGAGTAGAACCACTTACTAGAGAAAAAGGCAGAAAACGCAGAGTACACTGCTCCCCTCGAAACCCATATGCATAGGTGCTCGCATATTGCCACGTTCCACCACCTGCAGAACAAAGAGTCCCGCCCATCAGGCACTGCTCAGCACACGAAGCTGTTAAGACGTACCAA